CAGAGCAGAATAATCGCTCCTGTTTTGTACTGCTCTGTGAATGATGCTTATCATCTGAAATATCTGAAACAGTATTCAAAGCACTTTCCTACAATAAAAGCAAAAATAGATTTAAAATTACAACTTTTTTAAAGCTATAAATTAGGTAAGATAATTTACAAAGAGGCTGAGACTATTTTTTCAATAGATTTTGGTATCCAATATGCTCAGATGTCAAAATATTTCATAATACGAAGGTTAACTGAAACATCTAAATATGATAAAGTTATGATTATAATAAAGTGTTTAAAAACTCAAATAAAGCTTGTACAGAAGAGTTTATTTATAAGGAACCTTATAAAAGCTTAAGTTTTCCGAATGTAGAACAATAAAAAGTGATTTTTTAAGTAATAATGCACTGCTTTTTAGAAAACTGCTCCCAATACTAAAAGATGGCAATAAAGAAAATAAGAACAAATACTCTACTTAACATTAAAAAAGAAACTGTGCTATGAAAGGTCAGATAAAACAATATTAACAACCATATTCATATTAAGATTTAAGGCTATAATTATACACAAATATAAATTTAACCTTATGTAAAAATTTAGAAGCAATAGGTTTGATCAGTATGAAGTAAAGTTATAGTGAGATTTATGATCCATGTCTCATTTTATTTTAATTTTCTATTTTAGAGTTATTATTATATTAAAGCATATAAAATTTGTAGTCAGCACAGCAAGCTTCAAATCATTTTAGTTAATTGGCAAGTATGACGGAGCGTGAAGCATCATTCTTTTCTGGTAGTTTCATTTTAAACAAATCATGCTCACATATAAAAATAGCAAACTGCATTAAATTTTATACAAGACATTTTACAGCTTCTCACATAGGAACAGCTATTAACAACTTTCATGGACTATATCAGAGCAAGCAGATTTGAGTAAACTCTCTGGTGAGATAGCTTTCTTAGTGATGCAAGATGCAGCTTCTATCAACCTAATGCTTGAAATACACCAAAAGAAGTCACAGGTTTAAAAAATATATATAGAAGAAAACTACCCAAGAGTTTGAATATGCAGTTCTGATATTCTTTATTGTGTCTATATTAAAAAAAGAAAACAGTTTCATTATTTGTCTTTGTTCTGATTGCTTAGTATTTGCCAAAAAATCTGAGGTCTAGTGTCCAACAAATATTATTACTAAGCTTTGCAATTTTATTCAATAATTATTCATTTACTTTAAATAGTATCCGTTTTAACCTCTGTTTTAAGGTACAATGATGATTTCTGTCTAGTCTGTCATAAAGTCATTTTTAAAGGATTAAAACAGCTATAAATGTAGTAGACATGTTTTTAACAGATACAGTTCTGAGTCTTGACATTTGGACATTGACAGACAGACTGACTCAAGAGTTTCGTCAGAAGACATGGTAGAACTTTTAAAAAGTCAATCCTTACCTTCCTGTATCTAATGAATTTCTAAAAGGGGAAAACAGTCTGAAATGGATAAATTTTGTCTAATCAGACATGTACGTTTTATATTCTATAGGAAATACAAAAATATACCAGAAGTTGTGGGAAGTGAACAAATCATCTATTGAGACTTGAAAATCAGTGTATACATTGCAGCATATTATTTCATTTTGTTTTAAAAATGTAGTTAATTATGCCATAAAGGTGAAAAAAATTTTGAAAAAACTCAAATTTACCAAAATAGTAGTTTCTTTGGTGCTTAAAAGAAACATCTATCTAAATCTTTTATGTTCAAAGTAATATCACAGATCACTGTTGGAAGAATTTATAAAAATGTCATTATTATCACTAGGCAAGGTGATGTAAAATAAAACAGAGAACATTGAGAGTCATTGCTCAAAATGAAAAATACATTGTTTTTGCTTCATTTTTTGGAGAGAAAAGTTTTTTAAGAAGTTAAATATCGTTGGTAAAAATAATTTGCTGTCTTCTAGATATAAAAGTTGTCTAGCCTGAAATAATACTGATCAACAATAATTTACTAGTACAGCCAATTTTTTTCTTTATCATTTTACTTAGGCACCTATTCACTCCAATAAATAAACACAAACCTGTAACATATTTGTGGCCTGTTTAGTGCCTCAAAGAAATTATATAACATGCAAAGACCAAAAACAAAACAAAACTAAAACAATCTTTTCTAGAATTTCAATGGTTGAATATTGGTTATGAAAAAAAGACAAAAAGGAAAATATATTGAACTTGAGGAAAATGAGAAAAAGTTATTTTTGAAACTCAGGAAAATACCCATAGTATACTGTTTCTTTACAGACTATATTACTACTTTTACATAACTAAATAAAAAATTAGTAGTCACAAAGCCTTAATTCTAAAATTCTTCATTACACATTGACTCTTTTATTCCTGTTTTCCAAAACAAAGTAAGTTTTATGGTTAGCAGTGACTCGAGTTCCTTAATTACCATTTTGCAATAATGTAGCTTTTTTTTTCTTATTTAATTTCATCCATTGCTTAAAATACACCTCACACACAGCAGACATCTAATAAGCATTTAAAAATGGCTATATGTAACCAAAGAAGTTGGTTTGTAATAAATTTGACTGTATTTATTGATTTAACATATAGAACCAGACTGTTTTAATTTGTCTTAGACTTGTGCAGTTGAACTTCTATATAATTTCAGCCAGCCACTAGCTTGCCATGTACAACTAAACACCACACTGGCGGTATGATCAATGGCACAAAACACAGTGTTTAATAGTGGACGAATTCTCTGTTTCACTTCTACAAAGTTTAAGTGCTGATGGATTTGCCAAAGGAGTCACATCATCTCCAGCAAACCTTCAGTTCTGAATAAGGGCTAAGCTTGCTGTTAACAACTTGTTTGAAATGTTAACAGCCCTCGGGCTGTTTAACATAACAACTAGCCATTAATATGGTAACGACCAATTTAAGAGGAAACTGTACTTTGAGAAATGAATATATTAGCAATCAGGACCAGGGTTTATATTTGAAAAAGTATAAAATATTTGTAATAAATTAACTAGCATTAAAAGTTGAAACCTAGCAGAAATGAACTAAAAACGTCATACCACATAAGCAATGCCCAGATAAGTATTTCTGATATGAAAACTTGTTTGATAAATTCCCTTCAGAAAAGTATTTTGAGACTATCAAATAGCAGTTTTGCATCATTTTTTACTATCATCAGGAAGACTAGAACAAACCTGTTTGCTTTATTCTGTTTACTACTATATTGATAACCATAAACCTGTGTCTCTCATGCTAGGTATTTCATGACTAATTTATATTTTTGATTTTAAAAATCTAGGTAGTTTAAGCAACTCCTTTTAAAGCTTACTCAGTCTTTTATTATTATTTTTTTGGTTGTTTGTTTATTAAACTAACTTAACCTGATTCAGACTGTATAAATTCCTTCTTCGGAATTGCAGTGTAAACTCACAGTGTAGGCAAATGCAAGAGTCAAAAGGGGTCAAAAAGCTGTGACTGTTGCTTAGTATACATAAAGCAAGACTAGAAAGAAGTGTTGAATCATGAAACATAGACACAAATGCTTTATGTGGAAATGAGGCTCCAATTCACAAGGAGCAGAGGAAAAGTTTTTATTTCAAAGAGGTAAGTTCAAAGACGGGGGTTCTGAAAGAATTCACATTATGAGTTAACCCTGATTGATGGGTTGTGCCACCAGAATGAGGGGAATCCTGGCTGGTAAGAGTTTCTTCCCATTGTTGGCACCCTGCGTGCATTTTTCTCACTTGGAAGACAGAGAAGCAGTAACAAGTGGTCATAATTATTCAGGAGGCTGTCACATGAGGCAGTTCTAAGAGGGGAAAAGTACGATCTGATAAACATTACTGGACTCACCCTCTTGTAACTACCATTAATCAAAAGATGTATTTTAAATAGAAAGATCAAATCTGACTTTAAACAACTGAATTATACACTAAGAAGGCTCCACTTCCCTAAAAAAAAAACCTCCCAGAATGACAGAGATGGTTAACGAAGAAAGGCTGATTGATAAATTTTGTGTCATAAGGGGAAAAATTCAAAATAAATAGCTTAATGTCAGACAAGAAAAATGATTAATTGTATCAAATATGAAACTGCAAATGATGCCATATATCATTTCTCTAATTTGATAGATCCTACTTTATTAATATAAGTAATTTGCATCTGAATTGAGTCACAAAGTTCTCAGAGAAGCAAAATAATTTCTCTGTAGCAGAAGTTCTGGGTGGGAAATGCTGGGAGACAAGTTTGACTCACTTCATGACTTCATCACCCATAACACCTGCATTGCCTTGAAACTGCCCAGAGGTTTACAATTTGGAGTGGAGTTATCCTTCTATAAAGAGAGAGGTCTTTACTTTGTTACTGTCTACTGGAACATATGAGACTGCGCAGCGGTACACAAAACTTTGGCAATGACTGTTTGGATTATCACGGGAGAAGACATACTAATACTTGGGAAAAGTTTTCAAAACTATGCAATAACTGGATTACATTAATAAATAGCAATTAAGAATTTAAAAAATAACCTCCTCTAGCAAACCTCAATCAGAAAGGATAGCTGAATAACTTGAGGAGGATACAAGGCCCAGCTAAAGCGGAGCTCTGCAAAAATAGTTAAACTGTTTAGCCATTTCTCTGGGTTATTCACACTGGATTTTACCTCTAACGCGTTAATGAAAAACAAACAGAAAGTTGTAAACTGATTTATACCAAATACTGGCAGTTTCAATATAAGTGGGAAAAGCAGCGATGGTTGAATGTGAGTTTTCCGGCAAGCTCAACTGAAACAATTTAGGTAATAGTTTTGTTGACTATTCCTTGAGTAACAATTTGGGTAACACACATGGGGCAACCTTTGGAAGGCGAAAGGGGCAACATCTTTCAGGAACATAAGCTGATTGTAAGAAAACGAAACAAGCAAGCAAAAATACACTTACAAAATGTATTTTAAAAGCCATCCAGTCATCACTGGTGTGCAAGGGTAATTCCTACCTCAGATAGTCTCTGCGACAAAGGATAAGATTAGCTTTAGTGTACAGGGTGGAGCCCACCTCTCCCAAACGACAGTCACAGCAGGCACACTTCAGGCAGTCTTCATGCCAATATTTGTCCAGTGCCTTTAGAAGATACCGGTCCTTGATCTTTCGGTTGCAGCCAGCACAACCTTTCGGCTTGGTGTCTGGCTGAACTGAGAGCATTTGTATACCTGAGGGAAGACAAAAACAAAACAAGAGAACTGAGGCCAGGAGATGGAATGAAATGGATGTCAAAAGACCTCAAACAAGTTAAATATTTAATATGGCTTTTTCCTAGAAGCAGTGGATTTTCTTTCTTAGGGATGGTTGTAGTGCAATCAGAGTAAATTTTGGAAGCAAAATGTCTCAAACTGTAAAATCCCTACTAAATCATTGGTAAAGTCATACATATAAAGTGGTAATAATAATGATTTCATGTTGTATATGGTAAACTGACATTCTACATGGAAAGTTAAATAACATTAAATCATTTTGTAGTTGCTCTCCAAATGGAGCAATTCCTTTAGGAAGAAAAATGAGTAAACCGCTAAGAATCTGAGAAGAAAGCTATTTAACAAAGTATTCGCACATAGTTTAAGAGTCAAAGTTTTGCTGAACTGTTTAAAAATTCCACTCCACATGTGCTTTATGGCAGAAGAAAGTATACCCTGCATGGGATTACATGAACTTCACTTAGCAGTACAGATTTTTATAATTATACATATCAGAGCCACCCCAAAATCTTACCAATCCGATATTTGTTTGCATTCAAAGACTTCTTTATGTGTCCTAGATATTTCAAAGTATTCATTATTAAAATAACAAAATTATATTCATGCTCACAATCATCAGTCAATGCCTTTATTAATTGCTCATTACTTAACTATACACTATAAGCTTTTATATGAAAGTAAAGTACAAGATTATACAGTTTATTGCTATAAGCATGAACTTAATATTTTGCAGAGGAAAAGTAAAATAATAGGTTAATGTAGTATAAATAAAATTATACAATCATATGTAAATATATACAGAAGGTATACTGTATTAGATGTAGGGAGTATTTTTAAAGATGCATCTCTGTCATAAATAAGGAGTTTAACTGGGTTCTATGCTGTATAACTTCAGTGAAATTATTTCAGTGGATATTTGTGTTTGAGTTTATTTTCTAAGCATCAAACACTCAGCTAAAAAAAAAACCTACCCCGCGTATTCAAAGCTTTATCTTTATCAAATAACTCATTTTAAGCACTATAAAATACTGCAGACATCATCAATTTCAAATTCTCTCATTTTCCAAATTATAATGCAGAGCTCCAGAGATGTTAAGGCACTGCCTCAAAGCCGAATGACATTTAAGTGTAGATTTGGGGCCAAGTGGCCTTCTTGCAATCCAGAGATCCCTCTGATCTACTTTTCTGCCTCTCTTAGGCATAAAGTTTTAAACTTGGATGTAAAAGGATATAAAACACCAAATATGCCTGCATCTCAAAGAGTTCAAGAAAGGAAACACTAAACTATGATTTTCTACATTTTTCTAAGTACCTCTCCTCTCCACGATAGCTAACATCTGGTTTCCTCTGATATTTTGTGATGAAGTCTTTACCCCTATTACTTTCATAGCTTTCTTTTTAAATGAAACCAATAAGAAGTATCCAGACATCCCTCCATCTGAAAAACTTTTAAAGCTACAAATCACATGAATTGCACATACTAATATTTTGATGCTGAACTTTCATTAGAGAATAACTTGTCTGGCAGAGAGTGGAGCAGGCAAGGAAGCAGGGTGCTCTTCTTTCTGCATAGTATGCAGAGCTGGGCTCGTCAGGGCTGCAGAGCAGCAGCTGGATTTGTCCACAAGAGCAGGTGGTATCCCTGTGCCTGCTTTCTGTTCCTTTTCTTTGAAGGAGCTAAGGGCCTAGTGTAGATTAATCATAACCCTTGATAGCTCTGCTAAATCTCACTCTCTAGAACTTCTAACAAATGAAGTTTCTTTGATCAAAACTAGTTATCCCTTCCTAGCAAGGTTCCATAAGGAATGAATCCCATCAATTACAGTGCACAGCAGATGCAAGTGCCCCTTAACCATATACCTAGGGAAGAGGAGGAAATTTTGATTTGCTAAGTGACATTTTAGATCTCATTATTAACAACACTCAGAGATATATTAAGCATAGCTACTCTAATTATCTAATTTATAAGATTATATTTTTTAAATCACTAGGCTAATAGAAAACTGTTAAGAAAATCCTTCTTAGTGCAGCTAAAGCTATGGCTAAGGAACTAGCTAAATTATTCCCTATGGTTGTATTACAATCACCAAGTGCAGAAGGTCAGCTATCTTTATTCAAAATACTTTGCAACTAAAACAGGCGACACTAACATTTGGCACAAGTAACACTATCCTGTTTGTCTTCACAAAATGTTTTTTGTTGTGTTGACATTTTAATTTAGCACTCAGAGGCCAATTAATATTTGAAACTCTTACATTCCATTTGGCCTTGGGCATATAAAAGGACTTTAATATTTTACACTCCACCCTCTATCTTCTTTGAGAGACTATCATCACATTTCTCTTGGAAATGAAATCTTTGCAAGGCTATGCAACTTAACAGTTGCAGCAAAAGAACTATTTGATAGTCACCACACTGCCACGTACCTAAAAGGCAGAAAGCAGTCAGTGAGCTCCCGTCATCATGCAGAAGAACATGTCTGGGTAGAGTTATGTGTGCGTAGCTGAGAAACATTTCACAAGTTGCTCACAGCACATCAGGACTCATAACTAGTTTTAGATTGGCATGTAAATTGTTCCGAGGGAAATTCTTATTGCCTCTGAGACCCTGCCATTCTGAGTTATTTGACAGTTTAAGGGAAATCATAATTAAAAAAAAGACATAAATAATAGCCTGTGCAGTGTGGTGTGCAGGAATAAGTAGAACCATTTCATTTAAACTCTGGTGAGCTTTTAATTGCCTGGATTGCATTGTGAGGCGGCCTAACGGTTGATTGCTTCCATTATGTTCCCTTGTTCTGTGCCATTCATCCGCACAGTCGAAGCTTCAGTAGTTAACACAACAAAGTAACCACAACTCTACAACACAGAGGGCTTTAAAATAATAATAATAATAATAGTAATAATAATAGATCTGCAGCACTTCGACACAGTCTTTTATATTTCTGGACTAACTACACGGAGTGAATGGAAAACATTTTGTCCCTGTGGGAAGATCCACAGAGGACAATTTGGGAGAAAGCACAGGAAGAGGGGACACATAAAAGAGACTCTGGGAGAGATGAGGTGACTCCAAAAGATGCTAAAATGGGAACGCAGGTTCTGCAGCTGGGAGCAGTGGCATAGATTTAAAAAAAAAATTGGCCAACACAGCCATTCGATTGCCAAGAGGTACCAAACAAAAGATTTTCTCTCCTCCTGCCCATCTTCTTCCTCCTACCCCTCAAACCCCCCTGCAGCCCGATTGGAAAACTGGATTGGGCCTAAAAGCTCGTTTCTCTCTGTTCACTGGCCCAAAGCATCCCTACAGGCTGCAGCCCCCTAAGGGACAACAATGCAAATAGATGTCCCCAGATCTCTGGCACTGGAGCTGCTTAACTCTGTTCTGCCCCCTCAACTCCCAACCCCCCTCCCTATCCTCCAGCCCCCCCCCCTTTTGAGCAATGGAGCTGGGAACCAATTTGATTCCCTTTTTCTCCAATGCAGCTGCAAGGCTCAGAGATACTGACATTTTTCCACTCTTATCAGTTTAATTACAGTTACCATGGCAGCAAAGTGCTAGTGCTTGGCAAAGGCCAACAAGAGATTTGCAAGACTGAGTTCAATTTTGATGCAGCTCACATGCAAAATAAAGAAAAAAAAATAAGAAACATACATACACTCTAACAAAGAATCCCTTGCGGAGTTTATGCTCCAGCCTTTTGTGGTTGTGTCTGTGCGGCCACACTGTGGTGGTTCGCAAAGAATGTAGCAGTATTTGTTGCACCTAGCAAGATTAATTGGTTTAAGCAGCGGTCTTTCAAAGCAGTTACAACAATAATATTTTGGATCTTTTAGAAAGGCACAAAAGCAGCAGAAGAGCCGGAAGGCTTTTGAACAGCCCAGAGTGCAGAGCGCCGGCAAAGTGCATCTAGGATAGATCATAACCTTACCAAAACTTTTCTCCCTTTTCTGCATGAGTTGACTTAGGCGTGCCTGCGTTGCAGCAGCTTCTCATTGAGCACCGAGCTCAGAGGTAGCCGTAGCAGGGAGTCTCCTGGATTCCGCTCAAGCGTGGACCTGGTGCGCAGCCTACACCACCGAGGACCGACTATTGTGAAGCCACTTTGGGAGAGGGTCAGGGTGGAGGCAGGGGGTGGGGGAAGGGACGAGGGCGGTCAGACAAGACACAGCGCACCAACAGAGCCCCTCGCAGTGTGGCAGTGTGCAAAATGATGGCGAATGACAAAGCCACATGCTTCCCTAACTCTGCCCGCAATCCTAAAATCCCAGCGGCCCTTTTTAGCTTCCTGGTAACAAATGGATTTGATTAAACTGTCACATGCAGCGTTAGCATAGCATATCATGTTCAATATGAAAAAGATCATAAATCTGACTCGTATTTCATAACAGCGATCTTAGTAGCCCCCATACAAATGCGCTGCCTCAGTTTGAATTCCAACCCATTAGCACATGGGCACCTCTCCTTCCATGGATCTCCTCTCCTCTGGCCACTTCTTAACCCCCCTTCCCATAGTCACTTTTCCATCACCACAGAACAACGTTTTGTCATTAGGGCTGTAGAGGGGAAGAGGCAGAAGTGTCCACAAGAATGGCAAGGTGGTCATTGCAACTCTTGGGGGTGGGGGGGGCACAAATTGGAGCACGTATGGGTGGGATGGAGGTGCACAGCCAGGACAGGATTCACTTCCACCGCCTGGGAGCTCACATCTCCCACTTGCAAACTCTCCCTGCCCCTCTGTCCCCGGCAGCCAGGGGAGTGGGAACACTGCAGTTCCCGGTGAACTTTGACTATTATCCACAGAGTCCTACTTGAGAGGTTCCGCGCTGCAACCGCTCTCCGTGCCTCCACTAACATTTTCCGCCCGCATCTATTTCGTGTCTCATCATAAAAATAATGAAGCCTCACATGATTTAAACAAAATCGTCTCAGCAGAGATGCAGCCCGAGTGAAAGTTGCAGTGCGGAGCTGGATTGCAGCTCCCGTTTATGCCTCATTAGGAGAGAGGCTCGGAAGGGAGAAAAAATACCCACATCCGCACACGCACGCGCGCACCCGCAGAGACACACACACACACACACACACCCCGCAAATAAGCCGCCGCGTGTGTACACAGTTGCTACACTTACCTTCTCAATTAAGCAATACAGGGGGAGGCCGTTCAGTGAGCACAGAGGCTGCTTTGTAGCGCTTCTCCTTGGGAAAGGTCAAAAAGAAGCATTGTTTGAAAAAAAGAAAGAGGGGGAAGAGAATCTCTATTTCTTAAGTTTAAAATAATGAGGTCCTCCAGGATCCGCCAAGTAATGGTGTTGACCGCATCTGAGCCACAGGTGTCCTCCTTTTAGGGAACTGCAGTCCGAAGCTGTCTCTTTCCGTCCTGGCTTAAGACAACTAAACCCCAGCAGCGCGTTTGGAGCCGAGCTGGAGGAAGCCCCAGCTCTCAGCTGCAAAACGCAATCCCTTCCCCGCCAGACATAATACAGCCAAAGAAAAGGTCACTCAGTTATTACGGAGCCGGCGGAGCCCAGGCAGCGCTTGTCAAGACCACAGAGAAGCAGCTCCCTTCCGATTTAAGACTATTTACCTCTCGCCCCCACCCCTCTTCTCTCTCTCTCTCTCTCTCTCTCTCTCTCTCTCTCTCTCTCTCTCTCTTCACCCCCACCCTCGCTCTCTCGCTTTTGCGTTCCTGTTCTGCAGCTCAGTCAAGTACAGCCGCCCTCGGAAGGAAAGTGCAAACCAGCCACGAGACAGATCGGGCTTTGTTGCTAATTTCCCAGGGTGAAAATTTACAAGCCTGCGAGTGCAGTCAGCACAACCGCATACATATGCTCCTCACAGACGCTGGGGGACAACCCCGGCACAGAATGTGACCTCTGCAGGGAGTCGACTCCAGAAGGACCCCTACCTCCAGGACCGTCCAAAAGAACTCCTGCGAAAGAGCTCCGGAAGAAAAGGGTAGGGTTCCTAAAATAACTGGGGCATTTTAGAATAGGTGGCTACAGTTAAAGCAAATTGCCTTCTAAAAGCCATTTCTGAAGCGACCAATTATAGAAATTAAAATAAAAGCGAGAGACTCCAACTGCTATAGGATACACTGGCAAAAGGCACATTCCTCCCCTTTAAGAAACCTGGGGGTGTGGGGAGGAGTGGGGAGGGGGGGGGGTCTTCCCTTCAGGAGCTCTGAAGTCTGCTCAGCAAGTTTGCCTCACGGCTGTCCAGGGAGAACTCGCACCCCATTGCTCCCTTCTGATAGCCCAGAACCAGCTGTGAACTTGCTCCCCATTAACCAATGCTGAACCCCCTCCGTCCCTGAAACACACTTCCTGCCCTTACTTGAAGTCCTCACTATTTAAAACTTACATGCCTACACAGAAAACCCTTAGGACCACTGAGAACTGTAATTTCAGGACTAACTTGGTTAAAGGACCATAGTTTCTCCTGCCATTTCCATCCTGTCTTCATAGAAGGCCTTCACCGATTTTGTTTTTTCCTGAAAGACTCCCCATCTTTCCCTAACCTCCTCTCTTCTTTCTTTTGCATCTGTAAAGCCCACTGGTAGTGGTCCTATATCTTACTGTTTTTCTAAGTTTTCAAACTTCAGTCATCCTGTCTTTTCCCAGCCCTTAAAGTCCCTTCACCAGACTTTACAAAGCCTTGTCAAAGGTCAACCTTTAAAGTAGTGCAAATTTGAATGACACTGGCTGTCATGTTTTAAGAGGCAAGAAAGACTCAATTGTTGAACTACAAAAAACTTTTTTTTCTTCCCTACAGCATCAGTTTTAATCTAGTCCTATTTAAAAAAGGAAAAAAAAAAAAAAAAAAAAACCAGCAAAGCAGCCCCTGCGAATATTTAAGCTAATTGATGCTCATCTGCATAAAGTATACCAGCCCAGCCTTGGTACCTTATTTTTTACCTCCTCCCTTCTGAAGGCCCATAATAAAATCGTATGTGGCATGTTTTCCTCTCCCTTCAAAAGGCAAGAAAACTCAGAACTAACCTGAAAAATAACGAAATTCACAGGCGACAGATTAGTGAGAACCCCTTCAGTTGGTTTGTTCTGAACATAAGCAGATTTCTTAAGTTTGGCTTTTCTGGCCCGTCTACACAGGCGCACACGCACCTCACCCATACGCACAGCTCCCTGCTGAACTACCCCACCTCTCTGCTCCAGCCACTCTGAAAACACCCCAGTGTGTGTGTGTGTGTGTGTGTGTGTGTGTGTGTGTGTGTGTGTCTCGCGTGC